TATAAACTGTACAGTTAAGAACAAGAAGTGAATGGATTTAACTAAGCCCTGTTGTGCTATGCAGGCTGGGTTTTTTGGATACCCTGGATTCTGGATTCTCTCCTTAAATGGAGATGGCGAGCCAACCGTGTGAACATCTGGATTTGGACTGAAGAGAAGGATTTGGACTGAAGAGGACTTTCTTTTTTTGCATTCATCGTCCTGTCGGAGTGGTAGGACTAAAAAGAAAAACTCAGAGATAAAAAGGGAAAACCTTTTTCTTTTTCCGTTGGGAAACAAGACATTTTATTTCATTTTATTTTTTTTAAAAGGGTGCACCCAATTTAAAGAGACTACAATTGAAAAAAACAAACTGAAGGCCGTCCAAATTTGTAAAACTGTTATTTTTTCATATATGTTAATACACTTACTTTACAAAAAATTACCTGTGTGTTTTCCTCTTACTAAAATGGTGTCTTACTGTTTTTTCCCTCATCATCACTCTTACGAATCTAGAACATTCTGGTCCAGTGTCATGTTACTTTGATCTGTGCAGTTAAGATTATGTTGTTGAACATGGTTTTATACTGTATCTATGCAATGTTTGGCTTGAAGCAATAAAAATGTTGTATTAACATAATTTTTTGTGTGTTGAATGATTGGTAGTGAAGACGATTGGTAGGACTAAAAAAACTGAGTTGATAGAACTCAACTTGCAGATAACACTACAAAATCTGAGTTTGTAGAACTCAAAATCTATATGTCAAACTCATAAAACAAAGTTGATAGAACTCAGAACTTAAAGGTGAAACTCAAAAACCTAAGTTGGTAGAACTCAAAATTTCTATGTAACACTCCAAAAACCTAAGTTGGCAGAACTCAAAAATCTTTGTAAACTCAACCACAGTGAATTTAAGTAAGGAAAACTCAAAAAACCAAATGCATCACGTTGCCTAGAAAATGTAAGTTCTGTCAACCTCTATTTTTTTTTCAGTGTAGGATTATATGTTTTCGATTTATTATTTATTTATTTATTTAAAAGCCTGTATTAATGAACAGCAGTAGCTGTAAATGCACTTGGATTTAGCTCAAGGCTAGTTTTCATACATAGTCCCGTAGGATATGTGCAGCAGGTACAAGAACAAACATACAGTACATGTAATAAGGACTACAGAGCAAAGATGAAACATACATGTAACTAGGACAAAAGACACACAAAAGCCAGTAAAACAATAGACAGTTTCAGAAGAAATATAAAGATATACCAACAGACGAGAGAATACAGAGTGAACCGGAATGCTTACTTGAGGTAGGCTAATGTCTTAAAGGAATAGTACACCCAAAACATGATTAGCCTTCATTTTCTACTCACCCCCATGCTGAACAACACCCTGGAGTACTTTTTTGATATCTCAAATGCATCTGGAGATCTGGGAGGCTTCTTGCTGTCTGCTGACATTCAAATAATGGAGGTCTATTGTGCCCGAGACAGAAAGGTCCATAAAAGTCCACAAAAACGTGTCAATATTCCTCCATACTGCTCGTCCAATGTATTCCAAGTGTCCTGAGTGGGTAGCATCCAGAATTTACTCGAAACGAAGTCATTTAGAATGTTTTTAAAGCATAAACAGTAGTGTATAGGATTTCTTGAAAGCGCGCGCCGGCGCGTTCATGACGCTACGGAAGCCGGCAGACCAAACCAGATGAAAGTGCGCATTCAGCGTCTGCTCTTCCAATAATGCAAGCGTAGAAGAAGAAATGTGCCGTTTACCTGTGCAAAGAAAGAAACAACGAAAGAAAAATGTCTGAGGACTTCAGTGTTGAGGAAGAGCATGAGTTCTTTGCCGAGCTGAATGCGCTGGTTTGGTCTGCCGGCTTCCGTAGCGTCGTGAACGCGCATGTGCGCGCTTTCAGGAAATCCTATACACTACTGTTTATGCTCTAAAAACATTCTAAATGACTTCGTTTCGAGTAAATTCTGGATGCTACCCACTCAGGAAACTTGGAATACATTGGACGAGCAGTATGGAGGAATATTGACATGTTTTTGTGGACTTTTATGGACCTTTCTGTCTCGGGCACAATAGACCTCCATTATTTGAATGTCAGCAGACAGCAAGAAGCCTCCCAGATCTCCAGATGCATTTGAGATATCAAAAAAGTACTCCAGAGTGTTGTTCAGCATGGGGGTGAGTAGAAAATGAAGGCTAATCATGTTTTGGGTGTACTATTCCTTTAAGGTGCTTTTGATATTGAAGTAGATAATTCTAAAGTGCTTTGCTACTGAGTTGCATTGTATTAAATGAGTTAGGTAGTGCTGCACTTACAAGTGTCTAACGTACTTCCTAGTTAAAACAAATCAATTTACCAAGTAGCTATTTCTTCAATTGTTTCTTAAATAAAACAAAAATGGCGCTGTCCTTGACTGCTATGGGAGTGCATTCCAACTTATACACCCCTTGACTGAGAGAACGATCTGTGCAAAGGTGCAAAAAATGATGCTGCGTCGAGGGGCAAGCTGCTTAAAGGGTAAGAGATCTCCAGCCAATCTATATTGGCATCATGCTCAATGCTTCTGAGGAATACACAAGAGGGCCGTATCCAAAAATGAGACATTGAAACGAATGCTGTTCATTTTAATTGACTCAATTAATTGAGTTTTTCCTGATTACTTAATATTATCATAAAAGATTAATAAAATTTCTGTTACGCTTCATCCCTGCTGGGGTTGCGAGGGGTGCTGGTGTCTATCTCCAGCTGTTTACAGGCGAGAGGCAGGGTACACCCTGGACAGGTCGCCAGTCTATCACAGGGCAACAGAGAGATGAACAGGACAAACAACCATGCACACACACACACATCTAAGGAGAATTTAGAGAAGCCAATTAACCTAACAGTCATGTTTTTGGGCTGTGGGAGGAAGCCGGAATATCCGGAGAGAACCCATTAATAATAATAAAAGCTTAATCCTCTCCTTTAACTAAAAACCAGCCAGATAGGTTAGTGTTGCGACAGCTTATTTATTTTACGACAAAGATTTGTATAGTAGCCGCCATCACCGTAGCCCACCTCCCACCGATCTCATTATAGGTCCAAACATATAAAAACTTGTCAGATCAACAAAAAGGTATCTTTAGCCACTAACATCAGGCTGAACTATCACAGTAAATGGATGAGTAAATGGAATAAAGTTTACAAAAAGGATAACTTAGCTTCCTCAGGTGAGTGTTAACTGAAGAAGTGTCTTACCGGCATAAACATCTCTGATTATGCAGGGAAAGATCAAAGTATATTTAATTCCTCATTCAAGTGTTTTTGCTATGCCATATCAAAACTCTAGCTTCTGATCTGACCAGCAAAGAAGTCAGCGTAGATCCTTCTCCTCCCTGGAGAGTTTTATAATCTTCATCATGTCCTAAGAGTAGTGGAGCTGTACTAAAATCAACCTGGAACCATTGGCTCTTTAATTATGATGGCAATACCATAAGAGCTCTCAATCACCGGAGGAGTAGAGAAATTTGTTACACCTAGAAGCCGGGGATCAGATGACTCTGGAAGTTCAAGATATTGATATGTCTGGCCCTCTCAGGGATGCTGATAAAACCTAGTTGGAGGTGCTTAAGTTCTTTGCATTTCAGCCCAGACCCTCAAGTAAGTCTTTCTTTTTTAAGCAATTTTACAGCACAGGTCAGGTCTGTGATTTTATTGTTGTTCGACATAACTATTTTCTCAAACCTCTTGAGACTTGCTCTTAGTTCATCCTTTTTACTGTCCATGTGTGAGATCCAGTCAAGCTGCATTTGCTGGATTCACATCCAGGACACTTTGGAGAATAATTTCAGCATCACCCATTGTGGGGCCCACAACTTTTTCAGTTCAGAAGAATAACTGATCTGACACTACAAATGGCTATATATTACATCTTTGGTCCAAGGTAATTATTTTTTTCTAAGTAGTAGAATTTAGAGTGGGAAATAAGCCCAAGGAACCTTTATAAACATATAACTGAGCAAATAAACTGTAGTGTGTGGCATCCACTTACTGTACCGGCCATCTTTTGAATATGAATGCATGATGTAAACTTAATTGTTCTGTGATTTCTCTTTAGAATTAAAGTATGCAAGTTGAAAAGATTTAAATGATAGCCTTTTTATTTCATTATACACTGTAGCTTCTATCAGTTTTAAGAAAAGGGCTGGAATTCATTATTTTTGGACAGACCAAAGCAGGTGTAAGAGTTTATCATCAAGGGGTATCTGGAGGGAAAAATCTCCCATCGCTTCTTATGATTACAGTAATTAGTACCATTTACCTGCCTTAAAAAAAACTGGCAATAGCTTAACTTTTACACATGACTAAACATCAAAATTGTCAGTGGAGAGATAAGTTAGTAACAACATTAGACATAAAAGGTGTCAGGATTTTTCTTTGATGAACCCAGAATGCACACCACACACACGGAGCTAATCTTGAAGGTTTATTGAAAGTACAGAGTTGTGGAAGAAGTTAACCAGAGGCTTTACCGGACTAGAACTGGCCGTGTACATGTCAGCATCAGCTGCAGTAATCCACAGGGAACAGCTAGAGCTCCTCAAGAGACAGAGTCTGCAGTAATCCGCAGGACAACAGAGTGAGTTTTTGGTGAAGCAGAGTCTGTAATAAATCCACAGGACCACAGAGAGTATAACTGAGCTGCTGTAAACCCAGGTGCGGATGAGAGAGTTCACAGGGCAGAAGGCAAAGATCCAGCAGTGCAGCAACAGAAGCACAGAACCTGACTGGCGAGGTGTTGGGTTAGTAGTGACTGAATACGAACTGGCGGGGAAGAGCTAACTGAGGGAGGCTTTTGTAGAGAGGCTGGCAGGTGGAGTGAGTATAGACTAATTGATCCTTCACAGGTGTGACTAATCGGTCTTTGACAGTGTGCGTCACTTCCGCAAAAGCGCAATGCATTTAGGGTAGTTAGCGCCATTTCTGTGGTGAAGAGACAGCAGCAACTAACAACAGAAAACTAACAGAGAGTAGAGGTGTTCTAGTTGCTTCCGTTGGAAATAATGGGACACTGGTGCTGCGTCAAAGGATGCAACAGTAATTCTAAACAGAAAACAGCAGATGGGGCCTTACGGTTTTTCGTATTCCCCACTTGGAAAAAAAAATACGGACCGCAGACAGAGGACTTAACAAAGAGGCGTCGGGCTGCATGGGTCGCTGCTGTAAGAAGGAAAGACATCACGTTTCATAAAATATCTCCTCATGCTCGTGTTTGCTCTCGGCATTTTCAAAAAGGTAAGTCCTTATAAATATACACTAATAGAAATCAACACGCTGAAATGGTTTGCTTATAAAGTTGCAGAAGTTCATGTAAACCTACTGAAACATGCTGTGGAAGAGAAGCGGAAAGTGATGTTTGTTTTGTTTATTTCTTTTTTAGACCGCTAAAATTTAATAAATAATGCATTCTCTGTATATAATCATTTACACAATCTGCAATACAATTTTTTTTTTAAATGAATAAATATATGTAAATACACTGTACATATAAAAACACTGTACATACCCACTCGTCAGCCAACTCACTGTATTTATTTATCCTGTGCAATCTACTTAAGTATAATCCTTTGTTCGTCTGTAAGCTTTTCAGTTTATTTATTTACCTCTGGCCTTACTAGTCCGATGTACTTGTGCTGTTTCGGTATAGCAAATTTCCCCACTGTGGGACACATAAGGTTATCTTAATTTATTACACATCTAATCTAATGGGCTCTGTTATTTAGGTGCTTTATATAGTGTTTTGAATAGATGTGTAAAACACTCAACCTTTCATCTACTTTGCAGGTCAACCCGCATATGAGATGATGGAGACTGACCCAGACTGGGCTCCATCCCTGCATCTGGGCCACACTGACATCAAACCAACAGACACAGACCGCTCTTTAAGACGTGGTTATCGGGAACAGCTGAAAAAGAATGCCCTGCAAGCAACTGAAACGGGGCTCCATCGGGCTGATGAAATCCTTGAGCAACAGGATGAAGTAACACATGAGGCGACAGAGAACCCTAACCAGCAACAGACTGACACGCAGAAGGCTGCTGAAAACGTTGGCCGGCCAAACACCAAAGATGACACAGAAGGTGGTCGTCAGGAAGGACAGACAGAATGTAACCTGTGTGTGCTCAGGTGTGCAGAGATGAACCATCTTTTGGAAGAAAACAGAGAGCTGCGGCGTGAACTTGATGAGCTGCGGATCTCTGATTGCTTCTTTGGAGACACTAATGAAAAAGTCCAGTACTATACGGGTCTACCAAACTTGGTGACCTTTATGGCTTTGTTTAATTTTATGCTGCCTCTCATGTCTGCTCAAAATAAAATTCTCAGTCCATTTCAAATGCTTCTGTTAACCTTCATGCGTCTGAGATTGGATCTGCCCTCACAACACCTTGCTTATCTCTTCTGTGTTTCACCAAAGACAGTGTACAGAACATTCAATGAAATGGTGTCATTTTTATATGCAAATCTAAAGCGTGCAATTGTGTGGCCAGATAGAGACACCTTGCACAAAATTATGCCTCATCCGTTTGTGGAGGCCTTTGGACATAGAGTCACAGTGATTAGTGACTGTTTTGAAATTTTCACAGAGAAACCAGCTAATAAATGAATGCCAGATCAAGTACTGTTTCAACTTTCTTCTTCTTTTTTTATTCTTCTTTTCACACAAATATTTGAAAATTTGAAAAATAACAGCAAAACAAATATAAGTTTCACCATCACTTCAAATATTAACAATGTTTCTGAAGTTGTAAAAATGTGTGTACAATAAAGAGTGGAGTTTGAAATTTGAAACAAGCGTTGTTATTATCTTTTCAATCAAGCAGAGAATTTATGAAAATGCAATACAAAATCTCAAATACATAAATAATGCAGAACAGTGCAAAGCTTCAAATGTTTTACTTTGTCTTCCTCCCTCGTATATAGCAGATTGCTCTTTAGATTAAATTAGACGATTTTCATTTTCCCTGGACTTGTTTTCACTGTGGTCTTCCGTAGAGATATGACCTAACAGGTGATATCTGTGAAGAAGACTGCAGATCCCAGTGAAAACAGGCCTGGGTAAAGTGAACAGCAAATACAGTGTGCAACTTATCAATGTGCAAAAATTCTGACAAGTTTTTCCGTTCAGTCTGATGAGCAGCACAAACTACTCTAATAACTGCAGCGATCTGTGCAACTGCCCACAACATCTGCCTTGTCACTGTAATAATAATATATAATATCGTTCCCTAGCAGCTTTAGAAAGTTTGTCTGGGTAGGGTATCCGTTCAGTTTTCTTGTTCTTTTCCATTTAACTGATAATCCTCGCTGCTGGCTTGCAGCGCTATCCTCTTGTTTTCTGCTGTTTTGTTTTTCTTCCGCTCACCACAAAAATGGCGCTAGGGGGCGTGTCAGTCACGTGGCTGACAAAGACCGATTACTGAGGGAGTGGAGGCTTACTACCCAACCAGGGCGAACTAAAGGAGAAAAAGGAAACCTGAGATACTGGGAAATTAAAGAACACTGGGAATCCCAGGAGACTAGAGGATGATGGAGAACTAAAAAACATTAGAAAACGCTGGGGAAAACTAGAGAGCAGGGGTAGGATTCAGGAACTAGAGAGTGCTGGAAAAATCCAGGAACTAGAGAGTGCTGAATAACTTCGGGAACTAAAAAGCGCTAGGATAACACAGAAACTAGATTGACTTAGGAACCAGAAAACGCACGGAAGGCGCAGGAACTAAGAGTGCTAGAACAACTCAAACTAGAAATCGCTAAGATAACTCAGGAACTAGAGAGCGCTGGAAAAACCAAAAAACTAGAGATGGCTTGAATAACTTCAGGAACTAAAAAGCGCTAGGATAACAGGAACTAAAATAACTTAGGAACCAGTGAGTGGTGGGAGGGTGCAGGAATCTTGAGTATGCAGGGCCCTTGTGAGCACAGAACCCTTTGAGAGTATAGGAACCTTGAGAGCACAGGGACCTTGTGTGAGCACAGGGACCCTTGAAAGCGCTAGAACCTTGTGAGCATTGGAACCTTGAAACCACTGGAACCTTTGAGGGCTCAGGAACCATGAGAGACCACAGGAACCATGAGAGACCACAGGAACCGTGAGAGAGCACAGGAACCTTGAGAGAGTGCATGAAGCTTGTGAGAGCAGGGACCTTGTTAGCACTGGAACCTTGTGAGCTCTGGAACCTTCTTAACGCTGAAACGTTGTGAGCGCTGGAACCTTGTTAAAGCTGAAACGTTGTGAGCGCTGGAACCTTGTTAAAGCTGAACCTTGTGAGCCCTGGAACCTTGTGAGCAGTGGAACCGTTGGAACCTTGTGAGCTCTGGAACCTTCTTAACGCTGAAACGTTGTGAGCGCTGGAACCTTGTTAAAGCTGAACCTTGTGAGCCCTGGAACCTTGTGAGCAGTGGAACCGTTGGAACCTTGTGAGCGCTGGAACCTTGTGAGCACTGGAACCTTGTTAGTGCTGTAACCTTGTTAGCACTAGAACCTTGTTAGCTCTGTAACCTTGTGAGCGCTGGAACCTTGTGAGTGCTAGAAACTTGTAACCACCAGAACCTTCCTGCGCTAGGAGAGCACAGGAACCTTGTGAGCCCAGTAACCCTTGAGAGTGCAGGGCAGTGACAGCTGCTAGAAGTGTGGCAGCGACTTGGCCAGATGGAGTCAACAGTGGACGGCCCAGCATGGCAGACGGCAGAGCAGCAGAGCTCGATGAAAGCATCGCGGGGGACTTCCTCGGCGAGGCAGAGTCATCCGTTGATGACATACCGTTGTCTCCGGTGGTGGGCGTCACGGGGGGCGACCCCGGTGGAGCAGAGCCAGAGGCGGGTTTTGCGGAGGGCGACCCTGGCGGAACAGAGCCAGAGGTGGGCGTTGCGGAGGGAGACACACAGGATTTTGCTTTCAGCAGCCGGCCGGAACATGTTTTCGGTGACCAACAGGGCTTGACCTTCGGTGGCTGGCAGGACTGAGCACATGGAGGCCAACACCTTGCTTTCGGCGGCCAGCAGGAAATTATGCAGTAAGTTGTGTAATAACTGTAATATAAGAGAATGACAATATATTTCATAATTGTTCAAGAATTACAAGAGATTGATTTTTTGCTAATTTTGCCAGTCTTTGTTTATAACAGAGACTGTATTATTACTGCAGAAAAGTAAAAAGATGGGTGTTGAAAATACTCCAGTATCCCTTGAATTACGTAAGAAGTCCATGTAAGTAGGCAGAAAGAAAAGAAACAACAATGACTGCAGATAAAGGAAAATATGTGGGGGGCTACAGGCAAGAAGAGGGTAAAGGGTTGAAAAATGGAGATGAGAAATTATGTTATGTATATTCCCGGCAAGTGACGCAGGCACATTCCATCTGAGATCCCATCAGCTGTCAAATTGGGAAAGAAATGATGATTTGGAAGCGGCAGGAATCTCAAAATGTCTTGGACTATAGGCACACCACTGAGACCTAATCAAAACACAATCATGTTTGGCGCCTGAACAGAAGCATGCCGGCCTAAACCAATACCACTTAAAGTCTCCACTCTCATTCAAGTACAGGCAACTCTGAGGTCACTCTTTTTATCACACACATAATCATGCACACAGAAAAAAACATTAGCTTGTAGTCACGCATGAAAAAAACATATTCTGTCCCACGTAATCACAGTTTGGACTATTTCAAACGAACCTCTGCTTGTAGGTATCAATATGATGTTTGAAACTTCCCAGTTAAGGAATTGCTGTTATCACTCTGTATTACCTATGAGTTGAGTTTATCTTCATTATACAGATATTCATTTCAAAATCTTTCCCTCTGTTGCTGGTTATTGGTGTGACAGGCCCACTTACCGGAGGCACTGCTGCTGGATTTAGGAATAAACCAAATGCTTCTTCACCTGAATTTACCTGACCATTCAAATTCCCTGTCCCTCAAGACAGCGCTTATGTGCCCATAGTCAAGCCCACAGCCCACTTACTGAGGTGTGACAGCGTTACGACTAACCGGCTCCCTGGTCAGCATTCTCAGTGTTAATCCACAGAGATAGGCCAAATGCTGACCACTAGCAAGTAATTGCTTGGAATAGGCTCTGGCAAAGCTACTTGGATCTTTGAACAGGTGTCTGAATGTGAAAGAGTTTTTTTTTCTTTCTGTGATCTACTTCGTTCTGCTTACCTTAGCTCTTTCAATTGGGAGATATCAGTGATAAAGTCTAATCTGCAATAATATTTGTGATATGGGTTTTTGGAAATATTCTCCAGCTTTTTCACAAATATGAAATGTTTATTTTTCTGTCCAAGAGGAAGCCTCTCCTTATTGACCACCTCCTTTTTAATTTGAGATTATTTCTTTAGAAAACAAAGAAGAAGAGTTGTTAAGGCTCAGCTGTGTCAAGAGCCCTATCATATCCTCTTGATTTCACCAATGAGGGAGAAGATGTGAGAGGCTTTTGTTTTTTAAATGTAGAAATGTATTAAATCAGAATATATAGTCTTAAAATGAGATTTAGAAGATCTAACACCTGCTCTTTTCCTCTTCATGTAATTGGAGTTGCAGAAATTTTGATGATGAGTGGATTTGACCATTGATAAGGATATATAAGTTGGGATTCAAAAACATGGTGATCTGAAGGGAGGTGCATGCCAAAAACACAACTACAGCATGACAGCAGGTGTCCAAAAAGGCAGTCTACAAGAATGGATAAAAGCTGGAACAACCCAAAGGTTTCTGTGGGGTATTGTGGGGCAGGGGAGTAGACTAAAAACACAAGGGAATTGGATGAACAAGAAAAAGAAGCAAAACTACTTTGTTTAAAAAAAAAAGAAGAAGAAGCAGGGAAATTCGAGAACCCTGACACTTAGCTGTCCTTTTGAGAAGGATTATGGGGTTTAAGTGCTACAGTGTAGTTTCAGAGATACAAGTCCACAGACAGCACCCCAAAGCTTGGTATCAACTTAACACTGACACACCACACCATGGCTTCAGAGATTATAGGAGGTCTAGATGTGCCTTTTTGACACAAAGTGCAGTGTTGTATACTTTAACACTCCCTTTCTCTTCATTTTCTTTTCCTCTCTTCTGCTCTTGTCTCCCTCGCAGACCCTTTCTGTGAAGTGGCACAGAAGAGAAAGAGCTGAACGCCTGTGTCTGCTTACTGGGGCAAGTGAACATTTGAAGTGACAGAGGGTGAAGCTGGCTTGAGTGCTGGAGAAAATGCCTCTGAGCTAAGTGAAGGACCATTAGGGAGACAGTGATAAGATTCATGCATGTAGACAGAGCCTACAGAATGTTCACCTTGAACAGTTTGGTTTCATCTGCCTTGGAGAGCAATCACACCAGGAGAGTGTTGTATCAAACTCCAATCAAACTCCATTTCAGTTGACAACAAAATCAAATTGATTTACACTCAGGTCAAAATGTGCTATGGCCTACACAACCTGTTATTACTCATGCACAGTGGCTGACTATTATTGAAAAGCCACTTTTGTCAGCTTTCGGTTTTTAACAACTCAAAAGAAAGCTTTTAAGGGTGACCATGACATTGATGAACTGAGAACCACTTGTCAAAGACAACACTTGAAGGGTTAGGATTGAAACAATGTTATTCGTATATATGAGCAGTGGTCATCTTCAGGTAAACAGTGTCTATTCATTTTTGCTTTTTACAAATTTTTGGGTGAAAGTTTCGTCTTGCTGTTTGTCATGTTTAGCATGCAAGGACAAGTAAAAACGGAAAGACAAGGCTGACTTTAATGTTATGATAGTTTGTGAGGTGTCTTGCAATATTCTATTGCAAAGTTTAGAAAAAATGCTTATAAAAATGGGGAAAAAATGATTAAACCAAAAGAAGGAAGAAAAATAGTGGGACGTATAAAGTTTTTGTTATTAGCCAGTTTTTGGTCAGCACAAAAATAGATAGTTATGCTATACATAAGCTCTTGTATTTAAATTTAAACATCTGTGAATAATTGTGTAAAAATATACACAGTCAAATTGGTTTTACTTGTAACAGTGCATACTTAGTTGGAAAAAAAAAACGAAAACACCCATAAAAATCAGTATAAAGTTGTAATTTTCACCTGAAGTATCTTAACAAATATAAATAATTCATTATATGTTTAACTTTGTTTAACTTAACTACAAGTCAGTGAACACAACCTCTCGAACTTGACGGTTCATCTCTTACCTCCTATAGGTGCACAGCTCTCTCTGTAACTTTTGAAATATTTCGTAATGTAGTTTGTATCAAAACTCAGCTGACAGCTGGAGGAGGAAAGGCAGGAGGCTTGCATGGGTACAGTGAGGGGATACAGACTGACCTAACTGTTTGCTAAGACTGCTTTATGACTAAAGTAAGAAATGTTAAGCTGCATTACATGATAGGCTACACTACTTAATAGTTAGTATCACAGCTAAAAGTACCAAACACTAGAATAATAACTATCTTTACTTGTTTACTATACTTAAAAAAATTGTAAATTTTGTTTGTTTGGTTTCTGTGCTTTTAAAAGTCTTAGATTTGTGTCAACAGCTGTTTTTAGAGGTTACTATGACTAGAATAAAGGGCTTTAATGTTTGAAAGCAAAGCTCAATAATTTATGTCTAAGATTACATATGGGGACTGTAAATCTGCAGCACTTTGCTGCTGAAAAGATACACCTCAGACATCCGTGTTAAATATCTGCAGTTTTCTCTTTATATTTCAGGTATGCTTTTAATATGGCTGGCTAGAAGACAGACACAAAACATTTTGAGAGTATTTGTTTTGTTACCTTGAAAGATCATCCCAATTATTTTTTATGGACCCTTAACTTTTTATTTTATTGTTTAAAAAGATATTACTGGATCAGTAAAGTAGCCACTAAATTGAAGCTCAAACAACACACTACTTTTTTTTTTTTTTAACTTATAAAGCTGTTATTTATATTTTCAAATATTTCCAGGTGCTGGAAATATTTTGGAGTGTGTTAATGTTTTTTTTTTATCACAATTTTATCAGAGAAAAACAAGACAAAACACTTTTTATGAAAATAAATAATTCCCTTTTGAATTCTATTTTACAGGCTCCAAAAATTGATCTGAAATAGAAATGGTTCCTTTATCCAGTGCCTCTGACTTCAGCATATGAAGTGAAGGCCAGTTTTCAAGTTGGTAAATTCACTAATATTGTAGGATCTGTACATGCTATATGCTACAGTACATATAATATCAGGTTGCTCTGTTACAGTCAGTATACAATCACACACAAAAATAGACCACATGTAGTCTGGCTGGCTTAGTCTCTGACTATCTACTAGGAACACACTGAGTAAATCTACCTTACCTTACCTGAGTAAATAAATCTTATCTTTCAATTTCAATTTCTTTAAGATCCACTATGAACCTTTGTTTCAGCTCAGGTTTGATGCACAACAAAATAACTCCTTCAGTTGTTC